TCTTCCAGAGGTCCTGAGTTCAATTCCCAGCAACCACATGGTGGCTCACAACCATCTGTAATGAGATCTGGTGTCCTCTTCTGGCCTGCAGGCAGTACAATGTATACATAATAAATAAATAAGTCTTAAAAAAAAAAAAAAAAAGAAAGAGGAGGACGCGATGACGATGACCTTCTACAACGCAGTAAGAGAGAGAACCTCAGGTTTACAACGGAGACAGCCCAGCCACCATTTCTTTGAAGAGGGCACTCAGAATGCCAACAAGCACCCCAAAAGATGCCCACTGCCACTTTATCTCAGTCACCAGGGAAATGCAGTGAGGCCACAGGAGATACTTCTTCATACCTACAAAGATGGCCCGGATTTTCATAAATGCAGAGTAAGTAGTGGTGGGAATGTGGAAAGATCAGGAGCTAACACTGTGCTCATAGGAACGTCAAACTGGCAGATACGGGAAGTCACGCAGCAGTGCCTAGAATGGTAGCATGGAAGCTACCTGGAGATTCAGCAGTTCCTCTCCTGGGTGTGCACTGAAGAGAACTAAGAACATACACTCACACAGACGTTCACATCCTTGCTCACACTAGCTGAAAATAACGCTAACAAGGAAATAATGGAACATCACTCAGCCATTAAAAGGAACGGACTAGAGGCTGCATAGGTAGTTCAATAGTACAGCACACGCTTGGCATCTGCAAGGTCTTGGGTTCAAGCCCTAGCATTGTTTAAAAACGGAGTATGTCCATGTGTAGAGGTGCACATCGTTAATCTTAGTACTATGGAGACAGAGCAGGGGGATCCCTTGTGAGTTTAAGGGCAGCCTGGTCTACACAGTAAGTTCTAGGCCAGCCAGAGCTACACAGCAATACCTTTTTGAAAAAAGCAAACAAACAAACAAAACTCACAAAAACACAGCAAAATCAGAAATGTGCAGTACCGACACATGGCACCCCACGAATGAATCCTGAACACTGTGAAGAGAAGGAAGGCCTGCAGGAAAAGCTACCCACAACCATGGGTAAAGTGTCCAGACAGTAATCTACACAGACAGGAAGGAGAATGATGGCTGCCAGAGAAAGGGTGAGAGATGTGAGGGGCTGAGAGGTAAGGGCTTCTTTCTAAGGTGATAAGGGCACTCTGCATTGAAACAGTCCTGACGGCATTAGGGCCTCATGTGTGCACTACATTCTATTGACTTGGACCCTTTAAGGGGTGAACTGTGCTCTGGGATTTGTTTGGGTTAGTTTTTTTGTCAACCCGACTGCTGTGGGATGTTAATGTATGTCCTGTGGGAGCCCTTCTTGGGTTCCTTGTGGCGTTGCCCAGCAGGTTTGCATAGAGGATGATTAGGACCATGGGCCTGAGTGCAGGTGTCTGAGATGGTCTGCACTTGGCTGTACTGGGGGGATGGTCTGTATGTCAAGTTGCTCTGATTGGTCAATAAATAAAACCTGATTGGTCGTGGCTAGGCAGGAAGTATAGGCGGGACTAACAGAGGAGAAATAAAAGAACAGGAAGGCAGAAGGAGACACTGCCAGCCACTGCCAGGACAAGCAGCATGTGAAGATGCTGGTAAGCCACGAGCCACGTGGCAAGGTATAGATTTGTAGAAATGCGTTACTTTAAGATATAAGAACAGTTAACAAGAAGCCTGCCAAGGCCATACAGTTTGTAAGCAATATAAGTCTCTGTGTTTACTTGGTTGGGTCTGAGCGGCTGTGGGACTGGCGGGTGACAGAGATTTGTCCTGACTGTGGGCAAGGCAGGAAAACTCTAGCTACCCCCGACTCCAGGTTCTTGTTGAGTTCCTACACTGACTTCCCGCAGTGATGGAGTGTGACCTGAGAGTTGTAAGTCCTCTCCTCCCCAAGTTGCTTGTGGTCATGGTGTTTGGTCACAGTAATAGAAACCCTAACTAAGACAGGAATTATTACACGTTAACTTTTAAAAGGGGGACAGATATTCAAGCTCGCTCTTAAAAAGGGCACACTTTTTGGAATAGACCACAATGGGAAGAGAATTCTAAGCAGAAAGGTCAGAGTGAGGGAGGGCATGGAAACCGCCAGAAGGCAGAACACACTCAGGTCAGTGGGACTGACTCAGACCTGGGGTGCAGGGTGTTTTCACAGGAGCAGTACAAACTGCACAGACAAGGGATCCAAGGTATTGACAGGAAATATGGCAACTTATTTATTAATTATTAAGCCGTATATGGCAACTGAGGAGGACCCAGAGCTTGCCTTGGCCTCCCAGGACAACAACGTGACCAGTTGCTGGGCTCCGGCCACCTTGTCCCGGAGCCTCCTTCCCTAGCTCAGACCCAGCCCCCAGCTCCGCCACACTGGAGCCCACTCCACACTGTCCTCACTGTTTAGGAAACACATCTATTTAGTCCTCTGGTTATTTTGAGTTTTCTCCCAGCACAGCATGAACTTGAAGACAGCCTTGTCTGAGTCCAGAATACTCTGTAACTTCCTAAGTGAATGAGATTGGTAATTTTAACAAAAAATGACTTTGCTAACTTAAAAATCTTTGGTTTCTACTGCAGGCCTGTTTGGAACAGCCTTCCCATCACAAATTCCTTCAAGAAAACTGGACCATGTCCTACCCCTGTTGGCTTCTCACATGCTGACTGTTGGATTCTGCTTTTCTCCTATGGTCCCGACTTCCTGTCACTCCCACCAGTTCTCTGCATTCTGCTCCCATCTCCTGCCTCCACCCACGGGATGCAGCACCTGCAGACAATGTCTATATGCCTTTCCCAGCCGTGTGCTAGGCAGAGTCCAAGCTGGACTAGTCAACCAGCAGCAGTGATGGAATCAGAGACAGACATAATCACCATCACAGAGGTTTGAGGAAACCCCACGAAACAGGACGCAGACACTAACAGGGGGCTCACGTGGAGTCAGTCTGTGACCACTGCCATGGTTACTTTAGTCACATGGATCTCATTTTGCTAGAACTCCAGAAGACTCAGACAAAAAGGAATGGCCTTCCAATTGCTATGCTCCCAAACCTATGGTTTTCCTGTGATATAAACACAAGACTCTGGAGGTGTGGTTGATATTTGATGGTGTGCATCTGGGGAGAAGTGGATGGTGAGGAAGGGGAACTTGAGGGAAGTCTGCCTAATGAACTGACAGTTCATATAAGCAACACCTGGAGTGTTAAACCCATTCCATGTGTTATTTTACTGAGAAAAAAAAGAGATTCCACTCTTCCTTTGGTCAGTGTGAAAATCTTTTGGCAGCTGCGTTCCGGGCTGCGGTGTGTGGCGGTTCAGGAGATGGCAGCTGGAATGGATCAAACTCAGGATGCGCAGAATGTTTGCCAGCAGTGAGGGACTAGCTGGAGCCCAGGAAACGAATCCTCACAGCCCCCTTCTTTAAGAGAACAGACTAGCCTCCAGCTGCCTGCTTCCAGTGTGTGGCTGGGGATCCCAGCTGGGCACAGGGTTGGCCTTGAGAACAGGAGTCCTGGAACATCAGCTGCTTCTCAACTTCCTACTTCACTCCTTAAAACCCCAAAGCCAAAGCTTTGGTTTTAGTCCTATTTTTGTGAAATAGTTGTAATCTACTATGAAACCAAATGCGTCCTTCCTGAGGCATGGCATTCCTCTTGTCAAGAGGGAGGAGCCAAGGCTCTGTGAGCACTTGACTGGCACCACCAGGCACTCACCGCTGTCCACTCTCACCGCTCTGGGAGGCGGCCAGCCAAATGCATTTCACACAGAGGAGATGGGTCTGCACAGATTTAGTCATCTGTACAGTGCTCTCAAAAGGAAAACTAGAAAATGTAGGTCTGTCTGATCCCAGGGTCCAGGTTCCTCCCACTGCCCTCTGTCATAAATTCTGCCTAGTTTCCCCCAGACAAGTGAGTCTTCCAAGACTCCATGACGAGATAGGTGTTGGCAAGCTTTTTCTGGACAGGGTCAGCTAGTCAATGGTTTTGCTTTGTGTGCTCTAAGGTCTCTGTTATGACCACTAATGTCTAGTTTCAGCACAGACCAGCCATTGATGGTACATAAGTGAATGAACATGGCCATGTTGCACCAAGACTTCCAGAACAAGTGGTGGGCCACAGTTGGCTGCAGGCTATGGTTTATTATCCCTTGCTCTATGAGGCTTGTTGGGCTCTAAAATCAACAAAGAATTGCCTACTTTCTACTTAATAAATATGAAGTCTTCAATATGGTCTAGAGATGTAAGGAATACTCTTGTTCTTTTTTGAGACAGGGTCTTCCTGTGTAGTGCAGGCAAGCCTTGAACTTGAAATCAGTTCTTGCCTCAGCCTTCTAAATCCTGAGATTATATGCAAGAGTCACCACATCCCTCAGGAATTTACACTCTTTGGGGAAGAAAAGGCAGGCATATAAAACCCCAAATAGCAGCACATGATGAGTGTCAAAGGGGTCATAGGCGGCTGAGGGTACATTAGAACCAGAGTCCACTATGTGATCAAATGACCTAATCACCAAAGTTCAGGAAGAACCGGAACCTCTCAGTGGGCAAGACTGAGCCAAGAGTCGGGAGTCACAGGTGTAGAGCTCACCAAACTGCTCATCCGGCAAGAACAGACAGGGTTCAGCAGGAGCTAGATGTTGACCCAAGAACCCATCTCCTGAGGACTCACCCCAACCCCCACCTGGCAAAAAGCCAGCAACAGCCAGGTAAAGCGAGCCTAGCAGGAACTCTGGGAGGTCGCCCCAGTGCCTCAGCTGATACTAAGCAGAGTCTGAACACATGAGGGAAGGCACGTGGGTCACTCTGGTAGGAGGCCAGCTCCTAACACCTTACCTTGCTCATGGCAATCAGGGCAGGATCACAGGCCGCATCCAGATCCTGAACCAGCAGCTGGATACTGCTGGAGATGACACTGTAAAGAAACAAACTGTGTCACTGCTCCAGAAGTGACAGCGTGGTGGACAGTCACTGCTCCAGAGAGGGACAGGGTGGTGGACAGTCACTGCTCCAGAAGTGACAGCGTGGT